GGTGACACTAACGAAGACAAACTGCCTACATTATACTTACTATAAATTATATTTCATTTTAATAGACAATTGCTATGGCGATAATTTCCAATAAAGATCGGAAGGTATGGACACGTTCTATTTTTCTGTCATCTAAAAAAGATGTCGTTTTGCAGTAATTAAGTACAAGTTAAGAAGTAAGTACATAACAAAACATGTGTAGTATACGAAACTAATTTCCATCGAGATAATTTTGTAGGTTAGACCTTTTCAAGTAAACAAGTCGTTAGCAACAAAGCTAAGTAAAATACGGAATTATTCCAACCCCATTCGGGTTCAGGCGAGTGGAAGGATTTGGTGAATCCGAGTGGATTACAGCAGGAAGGGAAGGGAAGGGAAGGGTTGCTACTTGACGGCTTTGTTCCTCAAATATACAAGTTGGTAAAACAACTGCGGCGTACAACATCCTCAATGTTTTTACCTACTATTTTACATAAAAAAATATTGTATGATTACATTACTTTTTTAAGTTCATTTGCAAATTATGTATAATAGATTTAAATTTTATCTACAAAACATCTGTTTTAACTATCTTTATAAAACACTAGCTTGAGCTCGCGACTCCGTCCGCGTGGTATTAAAAAAACAAAAGTAAGTAGCCTAGTGTTCTTCCAGACTCTGCTCGACATCTATGCCAAATTTCATCCAGATCCATTCAGCCGTTTAGGCTACAAATTCTAACAAGCATCCATCCACCCATCCATCTTAACTTTCGAATTTATAACATTAGTCAGATTTATTTTGATCGCGATCAGAGCAGGTGTCGTACGACGGCCAAATGTAATAAAATGTGTCCGCTGCGGGGGCGGGCGCGACAGGGTAATGACGATAGGTCCACAGGGTAGCCGAGGGGTAGGGGTGCAGGACACACGGGCGAAATTTGGAGAGATTTTCCAAATTCAATATAGTGACCTAAGGCGTCCTCCACGCTGATTACATTTCACTGAACGCTATTCCTGAAAATTTGTTTAGATTC